TATATATGGAGAGTACCAGGAAAGCGTATCGTGCTTGTACTATGCAGATGATTCCATGATATGGGCTATTCATTGTGAGTCATTTAAGAGCTTATACGCGGTGGATACACACATCTATATACACGCCACGCCATGATATGTTATTGTATTGCGTATTGAAAGCTCCGACGCACACGCATGGCATATTACGCATGCAAGAGGAAGAAGGAATCGTAAACGCATTCCTTTACTCTCAGTCCTTTACTCCAAAAAATTATGGTAACTACACAGATTCGCTATTTGGATAACATAAAAGGCCATGAGAGAATACTAAACTATATTACACACAGCTATAGCTGTACATATAATAGAGGTAGTTCTTTTTTTAACATTTTCCCTAACATATCATTTATTTAATACCTTCAGATTTCCTCTTTATAATGCACGCAGAAAGATATTTTATCTCTTCTGGCAAATGTATCTGTTTAATTTTTCATCTCCTACGCTAAACCTATGCATTCTTGAAATATAATTTCTTTAAAAAGAGATTTTGTAATTTATAATATTTTATATATATGTTAAAAGTTTACGACATTGTAAAAAATATCAAAGCATTAAAAAGAATCACTTTTTAATCCAAAAAAAAAAAAAAAAATTACAGAAGATTTTCAATAAGTTTACAGCACGAATGATATAATACAGTCTATTAATACAGTTTGAGATGATTAATCGATGAAGATTCAAGAGCATAGCAGATTATCACACGCTCGCTAAGTTTAGAATGCAGAATAGCATATTTCCCATCGGGACGATGTCCCGATTTCACAATGAGAAGTAACACGTAATCGCGCGTCGATCGGGTCAATTGATCCGCGAGAGATTAACATTCCGAGATTAGACGATACGCGGCGATACTTCCTGTGCAGTTTCCGAGCGCGTTACGTGCAGTATGCACCGGCGACGGCCGCGGCGGTGGCCTCGACGGCGGCTGCGATTATGATCGTCGGCGTGGTCTTTGCTGGAATACCGATGAATAAACAGGGGAGAGTCGTGATAAGCGCCCGGAGCCGTAACGCGCCGGCGCGCATTATGCATGCGTGAGAGCGAGAGTAAATGACGGAGGTGGCAGCGCTGATGATGGTGATGATGCAAAACGCGATGATAATAATAACGACGACATGGACGTCGTCGGGAATGAAACGGACACGCGTCTGCCTGCCTGCTTGCCTGCCTGCCTGCTTACCCGTGTGCATCCTCGCGCGCGCGTCCTCCGCTTCGAGGGGGCGAGTTTTTCCAGGCCGGCGGGCCCCGTCGAGGCCTTGCGCCTACGATATATCCCGTGAATAGAGTAGCGGAATGGGAGGCCGCGGCTTGATCGGTCGATCACGCGTGATTGGCGAAACGGCGATTAATATTAACATAAATGACGAAGGCGAGTGACATGCATTTTTGTCAGTCGAATGGACTCAATTGAATCTCGTGCTGAGAAATCCTTTATCGATTTGAAATTCGGACTGCTCCATTTCGTCTGATTCGAGCAAGTTTATACCGCATGATCGGATTATACAAAGATTTTAATAGCAAATGCATTTCTCACCGAAATCTAAGAAATTATTTCTAATTAAATTAAATTGTTTAAATTAAATTATAATAAATTACACGAAGACGAAATTCACTCGAATGAGACAGTGGCAATTGTATAGAGATAGTATTGCGAAAAACGCTGAGTCGCTGACTAACAATTTTTTTGTTTTGACTTAGGAGGACTACAGTCAACGCAGACGCTTATCGACACCCAGCGGCAGCCCGAGCCCTTCCAGACCAACCAGACTCTCGAGATCCACCGGCACTCTTACCAGAGAGGAAGAGTCCTTCTGCGAGTCCACCAACACCCTGACCAGGGACAACCAGGGCCAAGAGGCAGAGAGAAAGGGCTGGTTCAAGTCCCTCTCAAGGAAGAATAAATCCAATGCTACAGTAAGTATCACATCCTATTCTTAATAGTTTTATTTTCCTATTTCAATTTTTTTATGCTTATTTTTCGATTCCAACAATTTGATCAATCTTATTAAAGTTGATCATCGCCAATATATAAATTGAATGTAACGAGTTTTTCTATATTTTAAACTGCTTTTCAAGAAAAATTCGATCTTAAAAAACTGAAAAATGCATTTAAATTTATATTCTCTTAAAATACTAAGAATATTAATTATTGTAAAAATTTTTCAAAAACTTTAATTATCAAGTGAAAAATAAAAAAAAACTAAATAAATTTCGCAATTAAATTGTAAGAAAATATATCGATATTCATGAATGATCGTTCAGCAAAGATAAACGATTACAAAAATTATATAATACATGATCAAGCCTTCTTGCGACAGTTTCGGAACTAACTCTTGTTAAAAAAACTTGATGGCCTCGTTAATAAGCGTATATAAATGAATATATGCAATAGTAGTTTTCATCAGTTGACGTCATTTTTGGATTCATATGAAGCAATCATCAGGTCCTCAAAGCTCAACGAACGAGTCCACGTGTCTCTCTCCGAAACCGGCGAATTAAATGGGCGAGAAAGATCGTATTTGAAATCGTCGAGGAAACATCGTATTCGGAATCGTTCAGAAATGCAGCAAATCATCCCCGCGAGAGGCCCAGAAATCTTTTTCGAGGGTATTATCCGATAACGAGCGGATTCTTCTGGATCGTGCCGTGGTTATCTCGCGCGCAACTCGCGCACCAGTCCCGTGCGCATTCATCAGTCAGATCGCGGGTCGCTGCGCGGAGCCATTAGGGCAGCGCAACCTCCAATTATCGGTTTGATTAAATGCTTAACTAACTCTGCGCTCTGTGGTTTAATTTAATCGCGAGATTAAGTGCCGATCAGGAGGTTGCTTGCCTAGCCCTATAAGCCGACCATCGTCCCGCGCGAGCGCGCGGGCGCGCGGGAATAATCTCTGTCAGGTCCCGATTCTCCTCCGATCTTAGGCAGCGGCAAGGAGAGGAGAGAAGAGGAGAGGAGAGAAGCGGAGAGGAGAGGAGAGGAGAGGAGAGGAGAGGAGAGGAGAGGAGATGCCGCTTTCCTCGCGCGCGCTCGTTCGAGATGATTGCGTGCGTATGAATCTCGCCGTGGACGATGATCTATCGGATGAGTCGGCCCGGGGAGAATCATGACTCATGAAGGCGCCGTGCGATGCAACCACGGGGGGAGGCCGTGATTTTTGCGGGCTATGCGGGAAGAATACGGCTTTGTACACGCTCGCGCGATTTTCTCTCAGCCGAGAGACCGAGAGACGGGGCTGGATTCCGAAAAATCGCGATCATCGATGGAGGCCAGTTATGTCTGACTTGGCGTTCGTCTCAAACAATTGACAAAGAAGAGTCATGCCTACGTTACTATTTCGCGTCATATTCTATTTTCTCCGAGACCAGCTTCCCGTTAGCAGCTTGAAGCGTCCTTAATCCTCATATCTTAATCTTATTATCCCTTATCTAGCAGATAATGAGATTACCTCAAAGACATATCAACAAATTTTTTTATCGGGAATATATCTATATTGTGTATTGTATCAGATAAAAATTTTAATTATGATTGATGTATATAAGATTCAATTGAAATAGGTTTTACATCTGTTGAATCTTATTACAAAGAAGAAGAGAAACCTCGATAAGTAAGTAAAAAAATAGAAATATGTGTATATAACATTATTTAAAGATATATGGAATCTCTTTTGTACTTTTTTTATCTTTTCAAAAGAGATAATTTTTTTAAAGAGCTGATCTCATAAAAAATTAGTTAAACTATAGTCAAAGTTAATCGAGATTCGTGGAGCCGCCCTTAAAAATCAGGAAACTGAAACCAAATATGTGCTTAGCTATGAAAATTATATAGTGCCACAGAATAATATATCATTACAGCGATACGTTTCAATCTATCGCACTTGCAAAGTCCGTCTTCTGTGCGCGAAATTATAACGTTCGATAAATCGATATTTGGAATAAGCGGGCGTAATTGTTATACGCAGAAATAATCTGTGCGCGGCTATATTTGGTGTTCCCCTCGAGATCATGAATAATGAAGCGTCGATAACTTTGTAGCCGGTGGATAAAAAGCCGAGAATACCCGAGAGCGAGATCTTGACGACCGGCACCGAGGATGAGGAAGCTTCCTCTGCGCCTGAACGAGTTTCCGTGCAAAAGAATCTCCGCTTCTTCGGCGATACGGATCAGGAGTCCGTCTCGTCCAACAGAGACCGCAGGTAAATGCTATAATACAAACCGCGTATGCACAACCGGTTAAATATTTCACGGAAGAACGATTTGAAATGTTTCGACTGCTAATTAATTTTCTTATCATTTTATTTTAATTAATACTATTACAATCAGAAAATAAATTTTCCACTTCCGTTATTTACCTTGTTTTAACTATTTTATTATTTATTATTTTATTTTTTTATTTCTGATTACATTAAAATATATATCACATATTCAAAATTGATTTTTTTATTTAAGGAAACTTCTCATGTATTCTTATTAAAAAGAAGGCAGCTAAATAACTAGAAGTATATTTTTAGATAATATAAAATGATTAATTATTTCAGAAGTAAACGAGTTGACGACCACGCCTGTTCGAGGCGTGATGTCACAAATTCGAACCGCCATAACTTGGGTATCATATCAGCCCCAAGAAAACCTTCGAGACTCGCTGAAAGCGCGTTGTCTTCGGGCGAGAGTACAACAGGCGACAGCAGTCAGCAAAGTCAAAACTCTCAGAGATCACAGAGATCTGTCGTATATCTTCATGCTGCTACAGGTATGATAGAAAAATTATATTTCTCACATAGATTTTGTAACTATAGCAATTTTACGTATTTCTCTGATTATTTAATAATCTACTGCGCGTCACAAAACGTTTATCTTTTTATTTTAAATATCTAAAGACGTTCAATAAATATTCCAAAAGATTTAAATTGATAAAATATTGGAATGTTATTATAACATATTGTTCATATCAACCAAAATGCGACCTAAGTTTTGAATAGAAATAGAACGTTCTCTTAATTGGAAATTAGAATGTAGAAAGTAGTGATGCTTCAAATGATGTTAAATTTTAAGTATTAATTTGAGATTGATCTATTTTTGCAAGTACGTAAATCTTGTTCAATTCTTCGCATGTAACATTTGGTCAAAACGTCATCATTGCCAATAATAGATATGCTCTATAAAACGTATTACTCATTGAACACTCGGAATTCTGCAATACTTGTCACATTTGCGTCAGAGGAAATGTGTAAAAAATATCTTATTGCCTTACACCGGTTGGGTGTTCAAAGTTATTTAACTAACGAGCTGAATAACGTTCGATAAAGTGAAAGTATGGAAAATCGGCAAGCGTAACCGCACTCTAATTACGACTCAACGTCGATATCTGCATTCCAGTCGGCGAAATACCAGGCCCGAACGAGCGACGCCGGGCGGCGAGTCGCGAGGAGTTAAATCGACCGTTGCAATCGCACACGAGAACGGTGTCGAGAAGCGTGAGCGTCCTTGCTCCGTGGAAGCCGCGACATTATAGGGAACCGTTCGAGATCAACTACGATCAGCAACAGCATGCGAAACCAATCGCGACCATGAGACGCAGGCAACGAAGTCGCGAAACCCTGAGCCGCCGAGGAAAAGAAGCTCGGCGAAGCAAGGACAATCTTTCTAAGACAAGTAAATGCTCTTACTTTTGAGCGAAATAACTAAATGCTCTGCTATAAATAGCATTCTGTATCCTTAAATAAAATTAACTAGTAAGCCTATATATATATATATATATATCTATATATTTATTTATTCTATATATATATATATATATATATATATATAGAATAAATAAAAATTAAA